TCAGAGTTTGGGGTTGGGGTTAGGATTAAAGTTAGGGGTTAGGGGTCAGATTATTAGGATTTGTGTTAGGGATCGGGGTTAGAGTATGGGATTTGGGTTAGGGGTTTGGGTTAAGATTGGGGTTTGGATTTGGGGTTAGGGGTCAGAGTGTTAGGGTTTGGCTTAGGGAATAGGGTTAGGGGTTGGGGTTAGGGTTTAGATGTGGGGTTAGGGTTAGGGCTATGAGATAGGATTAGGGTTAGGGATTAGGGATAGGGTTAGGGGCTGGGGTTAGGGTTTAGATGTGGGGTTAGGGCTATGAGATAGGATTAGGGTTAGGGATTAGGGTGAGGGGTGAGGATTAGGGTTTGGGTTAGGGATTCTTCTTGCTTCTCAGCTCAGCTTCTGGGTGCTAACGAGCCCCGCTCATTAGCGGAGAGCCCACGGGCAGGGCTGTGTGTTACATACACACCGTGCCCCCACTCAGCCCCCCGGCTTCTGGTGTGGGGTGGAGCCGTGCACGGAGGGGAAAACCCTGCATCCTTCCGTTAATTAGCATCCTCGTTAGCGCTGCGAGGCCTTGATGAACTTCCCAAGCTCGTCTTTGTGCACCTCAGCTGTTCCCCTTCCCCCCACCCCCCAGAGGCCTTGGGCTGCACCTTTTGGGGGAAGAAATGGTCAATGAGGTAAAAGGGAGCGCCTTCCTATTAATTAGCTCCCAAAGCCCTAATTAGCACCAGGCTGGTGCTAATCGATGGCTCCCCACGCCCCCCAAACACCCCCCAAAATCCCCCATAGCTGCTCTGCTGGGCCCCCCGCCCTTCATCCCAGCGGCGGAGCGCTCGGTGAGGAATTAATTGCTGTTAATTAATGCCGCCCCACAGACGACCCCGATCCCGACGACGGCTTCAACTACAAGCAGATGATGGTGCGCGACGAGCGGCGCTTCAAGATGGCGGACCGCGACGGCGACATGGCGGCCACCAAGGAGGAGTTCACCGCCTTCCTGCACCCCGAGGAGTACGACTACATGAAGGACATCGTGGTGCAGGTGGGCCCCGGCCCCACGGCTCCCCACTTCCCATTGGGTTCCTGTTCACAGTGGGTCCCCGTCCCCAGTTCCCCATTGGGTCCCAGTTCCCATTGGGTTCCAGTTCCCAGTGAGTCCCCATCCCCAGTTCCCCATTGGGTCCCAGTTCCCATTGGTTCCCTGTTCGCAGTGGGTCCCCATCCCCAGTTCCCCATTGGGTCCCAGTTCCCAATGGGTCCCCATCCCCAGTTTCCCATTGGGTCCCAGTTCCCAGTGGGTCCCTATCCCCAGTTTCCAGTGGGTCCCAGTTTCCAGTGGGTCCCAGTTCCCAGTGGGTCCCCGTCCCCAGTTCCCCATTGGGACCCAGTTCCCATTGGGTCCCCATCCCCAGTTCCCTGTTGGGTTCCAGTTCCCATTGGGTCCCAGTTCCCACTGGGGCCTCATCCCCAGTTCCCATTGGGTCCCTGTCTCCAGTTCCCATTGGTTCCCAGTTCCCCTTGGGTCCCCATTCCCAATTCCCTTTGGTTTCCCATCCCCAGTTCCCCATTGGGTCCCAGTTCCCAGTGGGTTCCAGTTCCCAGTAGGTCCCCATCCCCAGTTTCCACTGGGTCCCAGTTCCCATTGGATCCCCTTCCCAATATCCCTGCAGATCCCCGCCCCACTTCCCACTGGGTCCCGTTCCCAAAATGCCCGCAGCCCCCCCAATTCCCCGTGCCCCCCCCCCGCCCCCCGCTGGCGGAGTGGCGCCACGTCGGCCGCGCTGCGTTCCTGCAGGAGACGATGGAGGACATCGATAAGAACGGCGACGGCTTCATCGACCTGGAGGAGTACATCGGTGAGCCCAGCCCCCGTCCCGCCATCCCAAACCACGTCCCAAACAGATCCCGCCATCCCAAAACAGATCCCAAAACAGATCCCAGTGACCCAAACCAGATCCCAGCATCCCAAACCAGATCCCGCCATCCCAAAACAGATCTCAAAACAGATCCCGGCATCCCAAAACAGATCCCAGCATCCCAAACCAGATCCCGCCATCCCAAACCAGATCCCAAACCAGATACCAATGCAATGTCCCAGAGCAGATCCTGGCATCCCAAATCAGATCCCAGCATCCCAAACCAAATCCCGGCATCCCAAAGCAGATCTCAAACCAGATCTCAATGTCCCAAACCAAATCCCGGCATCCCAAAGCAGACCCCAGCATCCCAAGGCAGATCCCGGCATCCCAAGACAGATCCTGGCATTCCAAACCAGATCCCAAAGGAGATCCCAATGTCCCAGAGCAGATCCTGGCATCCCAAAGCAGATCCCAATGTCCCAAAGCAGATCCAGGCATCCCAAAGCAGACCCTGGTGACCCAAACCATATCCCAACTTCCCAGACCAGATCCCGTGATCCCAAACCAGAGTCATGTTATGCCCCCAGGATCCTGTTATCCCAAACCAGAATTCCATGTCCACCCAGGATCCCATTCCCCAAACCAGAGCTCCATATCCCAACCCAGGATCCCATTACCCCAAACCAGAGTCCCGAATCCCCCCACGATCCTGTTATTCCAAACCAGAGTCCCATATTCACCTGGGATCCCATTATCCCAAACCAGAATTCCATATCCACCCAAAACAAAGCCCCATATTGCCCTGGGAACCTGTTATCCTAACCCAGGATCCCATGACCCCAAATCAGAGCCCCATATCCCCACGGGATCCCATTACCCCAACCTAGGATCCCATTAACTGAAACCAAGATCCTATAACCCCAAAGCAGAGCCCCATATCCCCACAGGATCCCATTTCCTGAACCCACGATCCCATAACCCCAAATCAGAGCCCCATAGCCCCACAGGATTCCATTACCTGAACCCAGGACCCCATGACCCCAAAGC